TGGAGACCAAGCCCAGAGAGAGAAGGGTCACAAAGCTGGTAGTGATGAGAGAAGCTGAACCAGGTCTTTCCAACTACAAAGCTTACAACTTTAAACTCTTTTCAGCAGTTTCTAACCAGGGTTGAAAACTATGTGGGACCAGTAGAGGCCACTATGCACCAGACACATCAGACTGGCCTTAGGACAGAAGATAACCCTATTTAAAAGCCCACCGCTACCACCCGTCACTCTCTTCCCTTATTCTACTTCTTTCTATCATTTATCTCTGAAAACATATTCGTTCATTTCACAAAGACCAGTTGTGCTTCTACCATACTCCAGACACTGTGGATATAACAGTAAACTAGACAATCTCTTCCCTTACAGAGCTGACATCATTTACTAGCCTTTTCCTATCTTCCCTATCAAAACACAAGTCCCATGAGAGCAGGAACATTATCTGTCTTGCTTGCTGCATATTTCCAGCACCTAGAACAGCCTCTGGTCCATGGGTACAATAGACAGCAATGTTTGTCAAAGAATTCCAACCATGACATCCTCAGCAATGGTGTGGGACACTGGTCAAACGATTCACCAAAGTGATTTTGTTCACATGCAGTGTTCCATACAGTGCACTGTCTTAGTGCTATACTACAAATGGCTATTATATAAAGATTTAAATAAAATCTCTAAGACCTAGCATTTTTTAAATGTTGAAACAAACAGCAGTCTAGTGATGTTTAAGAGTTAATTTTTCTGTTCAGAAGAAAAAAAAAAAAACAGTACAAGACAGCCACAATACCACAGCAGGCAGTAAGTGCATACGAGAAGAAAGGATTTAAAATAGATTTTTATTCAAAAATTTTTTAAAAACTTACTAATCTAAATCAGGTTCCTTCTTCTTTTTTCTTGCCCCTTTTGAGAAAGTCCCAGATTCTGTTCTTTCTTTGCCGTGTTCAGTTCTTTGTGTCAACCACTCTTTTTCCAGCTGTTTCAGCATGTCTGCAGTGAGGAGTCCTTGCTGCACCAATCTGGAAGCAAGGGATATGTCCCCTGCACCGGAGCCAGGTGGCTCAGCAGCTTTACTTCCTATAGTTTTGGTGCTACGTGTCCTTCTACCTTGGTTCTTTAAGGTTCCTGACAAATGTGACTGGCTCCTTGCTGACAAGCTCTCCAAATTCAACAGCTTATGTGTCTCAGAAATTTTAATCAGTTTGGTGATGTTGTGCACACCATCTTGGATAATGCCATCTAGTTCTTTCTGGAGGTCTCGAACAAGGCTGGCGTCTGGAAACATATCCATAAATCGGTAGCTGGGAAAAGACACATTCCATTATAGCAACAGTTCTTATCACAGTTGCCAGGCAAATCTCAATGACATACCTACATCTTGACACTGATTAATTCCAAACATTCTCTTTTTGCAAACTCTGCCCAGTGCCTCTGTTCAACCTTTTTTTCTGCCCCTACACACCTGAGGAATATGTTATTTTGAAATGGGTCATCACTCGTATCTTGAGTAATTCTGATATGCTCCCTTAATGCAACATGCCTCCCCTTTCACAATCCCTGGTCTAGAGCAGTGCTTCTCAAATGTTAATGTATTGGGGATCTTGTTAAAATATAGAATCTGATTAAATATGAGATGGACCTAAGATTTTGCATTTCTAACATGCCCCCAGGTGATACCAAATGCTTTGGGTCCAAAGACCACCCTTTGAATAGCAAGGGTCTAGTGGACCTAGCACCTAGCTATCTTAACTAGAATCACATGAACTCCTTAAGTCATTTTTAGAATGGGTATAAATCAGGCTCAACTGCCTTTAAGGACAATAAACAAGCATGGGGGCACATTATAAATAGCTGCCTAATTTGAAAGAGCAAAAAGCCATTCACAAAGCCTTTGATTTGCCATATTACTTTTAAAAAATGAGAGTACATGAAGGAAAGATTTTACCTTAGCCACAGGTAAAGATCCAAGACATCATGGACAGCTTCAAGATCCATGAGGTCTTTAATATTCTTAGGTGGCAGTAATGGCCACTTAATATATCGGCGTAACCATGCAAAGGTCAGGGGCTCATTCTTGCTAAACTGCCTTGCAAACTGAGAGAAAAAGAAGAAAAGAGTTTGGTAAAAAGATCAGAATTCCCTTAAGTCTGTTACTAGAAAGAAAAAGGAAAAAAACATAACAAAATCTTAACTGTGGTTGTGTTTCAGGCTGGTTTCTTTCCTCCTTCACACTCTTCTATGTTTTAAGAACATTTAATACTTTATAAAGATACTTTTGTTTGAAAAAAAAAAAAAAGGATGATTTCCTTTTTTCCCAAAACCGGAGCAATAATATGTACATGCACAGTTGTACAGGACTACCTTTCCAGGGCCTAAGTCTGTTAATTCTTACTTATGAACATCTGATGTTCTAAGCTATGGGCAGACAGTACCTGAAGACTCATTTCTACTTCATCATCTAATAGTCCCATAACCTCAAATATGAGCTTAATTTTCTCTCTCTTGTCAATGTCCTCTCTTATGATAAAGAAACTCATTAACACGGCTTCATGCAAAGCTGCTCATTAGTTGATCTCGACTCTACCTCCTACTAGCTATCTGGCTTTGGCCAAGTAACCACCCTATGCTTCAGCATCCTCATCAGTAACATGAGACCACCATACCTCTGTCTTGAACCACAAGACACTGTTGGGGAATGTGCTTTGAAAACCATGCTGCGCCTCAGACAATGTCAGACATTATTACACATCACCTGCACTATAGAAGACAGGAATACAGCCACACAATAAGAATCCTCAAGCAAGAGCTTAAAATCTTTAGCTTTAAGAATAAGCTGATTTCAAATGGTCCATTTCCTAATTAGGAAAAATTATCTCTAAATGTTTAACCTAACCAAGGTTAATACCTCAGAGAGGCAGAGGAGTTTTAGAACAAATGTGGTTAAATAGTGGTATGATTTTGTTAAATTCAGTCTGGTTCATTCTGCTAAGTTTAATAAATGCCAAGTAAGATAGTCATGTAGGATGGAAATGTGACCATGCTAACCTGCCAAGGAGGACATGTCAAGCATGAGTTCTCAAGTTCTCTTATAAAGGCAGTGGCTTTAATATTTTTGGACACTAACAACTAGTGGAAGCCCAATATGTCAAAGAGCGAAGTAAGGAGCTACCCAGACAGGGCAGGGAGAAATACTTCCATCCAACAGCTGGCCCCGTAAAAGCTCCATGGAACACAGTTTCAAAACCACGGTCCTAAGGGGACTGAGCTCTTTTATAATTCAGTAATGATGGAGATCAAGAAAAAAGGAAAATCCTCTAGATCTCACATCCTAATCTTTAAACAGAAACCATAAGCCACTGTTGACCTTCACTGTCCCAGAGACTCCCTATACCTTAGTAAAGAGCTACTACTTCACTAGAATGGCTGCCTGAAGGATGGTGTCAGTGGGGCCAAGGCAATGAGATGAAGCTTCATTCAGGTCAGTTTACACCAGTTTAAGACTGACCCATAACCTTCAACCTTACGCTAGCTAACTCTCTCACAAATGCCAGCTCTAAAAATCATATTTTCTAGGTAAACACCTGGACGTGGAAGACCTCTAAGACATATTGTTAAGAGAAAAAGAAAAAGGCAAGTTGCAGAATAACTCATCATAATAACATTTACAGGAAAACATACCTAAAAAACAAAACTAGAATTATTACATGTACATGTTATGTTAGCAAATGCAATGGAAAAGGTTTGCGAAGATACAAAATGATAACAGTAGTTATTTCAGAGGACTGAGATTGGGGGTGGTAGCCAAATTTAACCTATTCGTAATGTTTTAATTTTATACAAAGAGAAAGTACTTATGTATTATTTATGTAATTTTAAAGTAATTTTTGAAATAAATTTAGAAATAGATTTGATTAGAATAGAGCTAGTATGCAGAATGGTAAGGCCTGTAGAAGAGATGGCAATGAACCTCAATGAATCAGAAAACCATTCAGAGGGCCGGCCCGGTGGCGCACTGCTACAGTGCGCCGCTTGGGAAGCGCGGTAGCGCTCCCG